GTTGGAAGAATGTATATAATCTTGACTAAATTTAGTGTCTTGAAAGTGAATTGTGTTGTGGTATGGACCTTAATGGCGCTAATCGTTTGAGAAACGAGCTGAGATTGAACTTGCTTGATTCCACCGGGACCTCCTGAGCCGGCATAGCCTGTTATGTCGTTCTGACCGATATAGATTGTGTAAAGTGCTTTCCCAAACACATCTAATTGAGGAAGGTTCGTTTGTCCTGCAAAAATTATATATAAAAAAAAAACGATAGTATAATGGATTGACCCGCCTAACGATTAGACTGCCTCACATAAGAATTTGCGAAAATCTATGGAAATTTTAGTATTTGTTACCTTGATATTGGGAATATTCCTCAACTCTTGCTTTGAACTGCCTCATTTGGTTGACTTGGACTTGCAAGTAGAAAGGGCTGACACCATTGACAAATAAGGATGTCTGAGGCTGGAGCACGGTGGATCCTGCCGTGGCGAAGTTGGCCCCATGCCTGAAGTCAGACCCAATTGACTGAAGATATGGGCTTATGAAGGGAAGCCCAATGGCTTGAGCTACACATCATATGGCAATATAATATATCATTCTTCTCATTTCCATATATCAGATTTTGATAAAAATAAGCAAAATCTAGATTTTTTTTTTCTGTATAATATAATACAAACTGATATATATTTACCGAGAAAATCGACAAAGATTCTTCCATCAGAGGCTCGACCGGTGGGCTTGTTGAAATAGGTCATGCCGAAAGGAGGCGGCTGAGAAGGAAAAGCTGCGAAAAAGCCTCCGGTGTCGGAATTCGAGTCCCCGAACACAAACATGGCCTCGAAAGCACATTTTGCATTAGCCCCATTGACCAGAATCGCCATTAATGCCACATAATAAACCATAGTGCAGGATTTTCCAAAGGAAAAAGAAGCCATTTTTTCTTTTATGTCCAAACTATACAGGGGTTTGTGATAATTTATCTTTTTGAATGAGGAAAAGTGAAGGTTTTTGTGGTTATATTTATAGAGGTTTGAGAGGAAAGCAAATTCATGCATGCATGGAGAAGAGAGTTAGATGTGATCCATTGAATGCTACAAACGGAATTTTTGCAATAAAGTATTTTGCCGACTGAAATTCAGTTATTTGTGAAATTCAGGCGAAGTTGGATGGGCAAAAGTACAAGAATTATTGAATTACATTTAGTGAAATAGAAAAGGAGAAATGTATGGAATTATGGGTCTATTGATTGAATATGCAACCACCATGACATAGGCACAGGTAAGTGCCAAAAACACACAAATATATTAGCGTGAATTACATTGATGGATGGTAGAAAATTGTATCTGGTGGATATATAAAGACAACAATTTTCAACAAACTGTGAGCTCAATGTCAAGCACAATTATTATATATTGAAAAAAATGTTAGGAAAATTCACGTGCCCATATATATTGAATTTGTTTACTACGTATATCTGTTCAGTGAGACATTGCAGTAATGTAAAATTGTGGCAAAAAATATTTATTATATGAGTAAAAAAAAATTGGTGATTACTTAGGTAGAGAGATATCATATTAATTTTACATTTATTAAAAATAGTACTAGCAACTATTTTTATTAATAATATTAAACATTATGAAAAAATGTGCGATTATTCTAACTCATTTACAAGATATATTTACAAGATATCTTTCTCGAAAAGAAGAATGACTCATTCAAAAACTAGAAGAATAAATAGTATAATTTAATTGGAGTGTTCTTTTCGCAGCTGAATTCAAAAACTAGAAGAATAAATAGTATAATTTAATTGAAGTGTTCCCAGCTGAATTGACTAAAGATTGAGAGTATAGAGGTGTTTGTTTTATAACATGAACTCAACTTATTTTGTATTAACCATTTCAACTAAAATTTATAACTTAATTATTTATACAATGTAATAAAAAATAAAATTACTTAAATTATATATATTAGCAAATAAATAATATATAATGAATGCATGCATATAATATTAAGCAAACAATTCATCAAATAGTTATCAAATCCTATTTACAAATTTCTACCATACTCCTAAGAAAGTTGAGGAAAACCAAGATAAAATGGTGAAATATCCTGAAATGTTAGCATAGGTGTTATTAGAAAGATTCTTTTTTTTTTAAATCAAAATGCACAAAAGTGCGAATAAACAGCAGCCAACAGCTGAAAAGAGTGGGAGGACAGGTCAGAAGACCGCCTAGAGACCCGCTAGCAACGCTAGAATAAAAAAACTCACAACACACTAACCTACAACAAACTAAAATACACAAATTAAACTAAAATAAACTAGAAAGACCCCAACAGGGTAATTAACCGAGTGTCACAAAGGGATAATAAGGTGACACTCAGGTTCACAGAGGCCAAAGGCCCAGACCAAAGAAACATAGAACAACACTAATAACTGAAAAACAAACCAATACTAAAATCAAAAACAGAAAAACACAGACTCCCCCGTCCAATACATCTAGATAACAGACAGACAACCAAACTCCAAAGCACGGGAAAAACCGCCCGCCACTGCATAAGGCCTAGCAAGACGGAACCCGCACCCCAGGTCCAACCGAAGAGCTGACCCGCACTCCAATCACGAAAGGCAGCAATTATACCCCAACCCAGCCCAAGACGCCAGAACATATCAAATGGCCAACCGAAAACAGCAAACCACCCCCAGCAGAAGCCATAGCTACCCACCGAGAACCCCCAACACCAACTCGCCGAGAAGCCATCCGGTCACGGACACGAAAGAGAAACCTAGACAGAGCAGCAAAACGAGGCTATACCTGCAATTGACCCGGCTTAGAGCCAAAACATGAGGAAGCCTCAGACGCTCGTTGCTTCGCCGGCGTAAAGGCACCGTCCCGACCGGCAACGAGAAGGGCAAAAGGGAGAGAAGCATCCCAGCGATCAGGCCGAAATCGAGATTAGCTAACCTTTCCTCGTCCATGGACCAGCACCACATCCCGACCACCGTCGTTCAGTCCTGAGCTCCGGCGACCAACAAGGAAAGAGAACTTACCCGCTGACCGAGGTGCGAAGCCGGAAGAGAAGCGACAAAGATGGGAGAAGGCCGCACCTCCATGGACGAGCGACGGAGGTCTTCCACCTCTAGACCCAGATGACCGACGAGGGAGAGAGACCGACGCAAATTGAGGAGGAGAGCTGCTTTATTAGAAAGATTCACTATGAAAAATTTATTTACATCGTGCGCTTTGGACATAATTTAGTTTTGCACCTTCAAACATTTTGTTTTAATTGTAATTTGCAATCTATAAATGATAAATATAATGTATAGCAACCTTCGGTCATTGAAATACCACGGTATAATATATAAGCAAGCTTCAAAATAACAATATATGTGCGATACAATGAACCTCTTCTTTAACGATTTTTTAAATTTTAATATCCAAAGGTACGATACATTATTCTTTTATGTGCATGCAAATTATGAAGAAAAAAAAAAAACTCTGATGCAAAATCCAAATTAAAAAATGGTGTGGAATGTAAATAAATTTTCCCTCCCTTTTATAATAATCTTACCACATAACATCACCTTCTATTTCAAAGTTTTACACGCACTCATTTTTTGTATTTATTTATATATATACTTAAGCCTCCAAAGTCCAAAGTACAAAATTGTCAAAAAGGGCATTTCATGTGCTAAACTTTATAATTAAGCTAAACTGGATCATTTTTATAATTAAGCTAAACTTTAATCCAATATTACAATTAAATTATATAAATTTTATACCCATCGTTTTAACTTTTTAAGGATTTACTGAATTGTATCGCAGCTGAAAAACCCCACATCGTCTTCTTCATTCTCTTTGTCCATAGCCATGGCGCTGAGAATTTCGCGCAAGCTTTCCTTCAATCTCCTAAAAAACCAATCCCTCTCCAAAAACCCTTTCTCCACTGCCACAAATTATCTGCAAAAATCACCGCTTCAACCGATCTCTCTTCAAAAACCTGGATCTCACAGCACACAGATCTATAATCCCAAGTCCTTCGAGCCAAAAACTCCACAAAACCGCCAAACCCTCCGTTTTCCGCACGATTACCGTCATATTCTATCCCACAGGCGCTCGAATTTGATCCCCAAATCAACTTCCCATCCCCTGCTAAACCCTAGCCATAGCTCCCAATCCCCTTTTGGTACGTATCGAAACTTCAGACCTCTATCCACCTCAAATTCAGACCAATCGCCGTCCGAAAACCCTAAAGAGCAGCGCGAGGAATTCAAGCACCAGGAAATCACGGGCCCCACCGTGGATCGGGATCTATCGGCCCTGGCCAACGAGACCCGAGAAGTTCTCGAGACGATGATGAGGACCGTTTATAGCTTGAGCAAGGTTTTAGCCGGGTTAGGCCTCGTCCACCTTGGCCTGGGAGCTTGGATATCGTACGGCATGAGGGACTCTCCCTTGCCGGAGGTTTCTGTTCAGAGCTTGCTGGCGTTCGGTCTGCCCTTCTCGGTGGCTTTCATGTTGAGGCGAGCTTTGAAGCCCATGTACTTCTTCAAGAAAATGGAGGAGCAAGGGAGGCTTCAGATTCTGACGCTTACTCTTCAGGTCACAAAGAATTTGAATACGTTTTTTGTTCGCCTTCGTGGGGTTTCGTATTTGTGCATTGCAGGTGCTTCGTTTGGTTTGATCTTAGTTGCAGTGTCTAGGTGAGTTTTAATGGGTGATGATGTTTTTGGAAAGAAATGGGACGGGATGTGCATTGGGTGGTTAATGAGGCTTCTTGTTTCATTATGTTCGATTGGTTTTTGATGAGTATTGCTACTCGATTGTGGTGGCCATGGAGTTTTGCACTTGTATCTATGTTGGCAAGTGAAAAAGTGTGTAGGTTTTTGCGGATTTAAGACAGTTGCATTGAAGTTTCGATTTTGATTCGTGTTTGGTTTAAGGATTTTGCTTCAGCATTGTGTTCGAATGTTTGTTTCCCGGTGGCAGGACTTGTTGTTTGAGCATAGTCTTCATCAGGCTTTGATTTATTCGCCAATCTTAAATTTACAATTTGTAGGCATGAAGAAATAGATTGTTTCATCAGACATATTTTCAGCCTAATTGTAAATTTGCCTACAGTTTATTCGCCCTAATTGTAAGAACATGAATGTTTAAATACTACAATCCATCATATGACATGAAATATCATGTTTTTATTTATATAACTTTGATATAAAAATTCAATAAGCAAGTATTACAAATGCAAATTGATATCCTTTGGGTAAACAGTAAGCAAAATTAACTCCACAAAATTGTGCAATAATGCCTGGAAAGCGCTGCTCATCCTAGACCAGCTCACGACAGAAATATTTCAAGTCTATATATTTTTCATTATCAACAAACACAACAGTATATATATTGTGCACCCAACATATGCAATAATGATAAAACTCGGGTCTTATATCTCATGACAGCAATATTTCATGTCTACATACTTTTGCATCAACAACAAACACAAATTTGTATTGTCGCCCAAACATATGCAATAATGATAAAACTCATATCTTAAATAAGATATCAAAAGGCCTAATATCCACATTCCTATCAAAAGAATATATAATCATGGTTGTACGATCCGAGTCCTTGTGGAGTTTAAAGCAACTTTCGCGGCAAAGACAATGGATATTGCCCCTCAATTCTTCTTAATGAGTGGCCAAACATACAACAAAACATTTCCAGGACCCATATTTCATTAAATTTGGGGAGGGGGAAAAAAAAAAAGGAATAGGCAAATGCTGAGCGATTACTGTCCACACTCCACAGCCCATTATCAAATAACATTCACCATAGCAAAATTAACTGGAATGTCCCCTTAACGCCGTTCGACCCCTCAACCTATGCCAATTCCAGCCCTTGACTAGCTTATTTAACCAAAGTCAAAATAATATCAGATATTCAAAATTCGCCCCGATTGAAGAATAACTCGGCAAAACCTTACTAAGCAGTGCCAGAACTCCCATTTGCCTTAGTTTCCGGACGAACATATGTAAGACCACGAATTGCTGGTGCCGGAAAATTGGTGTTAACTGAGGTCTCGTTGGCAGTCGACTCAGTCCCACGCTTCCACTGGAAGCTTCTTGTCCCCGGCTTCATAGGTACGCGTGATCTGTATATACTACTGGGCATGCCTCTAGCAAAAGGAACTCTGCTATATCTCGGAACAGTATAGGGAGATGCCCGAAGGACACGTGGCCGTGGTGTAATTGATGCAACTTCTGGTAGAACAGAGTTTTTCCTTACAATCTGCACATAAATTATAAATTTCATGAACCACTCGAGCACATATGACAAGTGAAGAGATGAGAAATAGATTGGGTACATGAACAAA